TGGTGAGGTTGTAATTATTAAATATTTATATCCTTCCAAATTGGGCAATAACTGGTGTGTCAGAGGGTCAGATGTTGTCTAAAATTCAATCTTTGGCCCTCTCTAATACTTCTGTCCAGACAGATTTCTATTAACCCCTTGCCACTGCTAACCCTAGCCCTTTAAGAGGATCTGAATGCTGGGAGGTGGATGCAGACATCCTCAATCATTTAACCACTGTGATTGGCTGTCACAGCAGTCACATGATCAGAAGCTCCCATTGGCAAGTTGTGAGTATGTGCACTCATTGCCCCTTCCCATAAATGCATATGTGCGGCAGCTTTGTGTTAAAGCCCACCCAGCCCACCTTTTAATAGTTAAAAACAATGCCCATAGTGCACTCACTTTTTCAAAATTAATACCAAGCCTTTAATCATATAACCTTTTTAGGCAGGTAACAATTCCACCAATTACTTCATGGATGGAAATTAGCAGATCACATAAGCTTTAGGGAAAATGATCTGGCAGCAGTCTATGGATATGTGCTCTCCTCTCCAAACAAAATGGCAACGGAAGACCGCATCAGAGTGCATTTCACTCACCAGACGTGACATCACGAACCCTCCATGGGAACCTGAAACTGCGTCAACGCGTTTCACCCCTCTTCCAGGGCGTCATGACAGACAAAGATCTCCAGTTCCTGGTTCAAAATATACCTCCCCATTACTCCTCCCACTATCATGATTCGCTAACTCCTAATGGGTAGGACTCTCTGCGACACCCCCACTCCAAATCCACTGTTTAATCGGAATCCTATGGACATACTGCAAGCTCACTTTCCGATCGGGATCCTATGGTCACCATTAACAATGCAATATCGTTAACACTAAAATCGACAAAATATATAACAATCAATGATAAAAATCAATATAAGTGACAATATTAGTTAATCAGCCATCACTAAGCATGAGTGACACAAATTAATACACTAAAAAATTGGACATAAAATATATATAAATTTAAAAAATATAAATAAAGAATAAAAAAATTATATATATAAAAAATAAACAAAAAAATCCATAAAAAATCTTCTGAATTAAATATAAGCCTACAATTACTTTATAAAAATTACCAATTGGATAAGAAAACATTTAAGTCTATATCTACATTTAACCCCCTAGGGGCCAGAGTGCCTAATTTAAGAATCCACTTTGTCTCATTCTGTGAGACTGACTTTCTCATATCACCACCATGCCAATGGTGTTCAATTCTGTCAATCCCACAGAACTTGAGCAAAGATGTATCTTAGTTGTGAAATTTTCTAAAATGATAAGACAAGCTGTGATGTTTGAAACCTTTCTTAATATTCCTAATATGCTCACTAAGCCTTATGGCAAGTTTCCTAGTTGTCCTCCCTACATATTGTAAATGACAAGGGCATTCCAGAAGGTACGTTACATGGTTGCTATTACATTAAATAAATTTCCAAATTTTGTAAACAGTATGTCCCCTCTAACTTGAAACTGAAATTGCAATACTCTCTTATTATTGTTACCCCCTTATCCCCACGCAATGGGGAAAGAGCAGGAGGGGTTATACAGGGGGGAAGAGAAAAAAGAAAGAGAGAAGCCTAAATCAAGGAATTTTCAACCTTAGTGATATTGAGGAAGAACTAAAAGTTCTTAAATTAGGACTTACATTTGCCCCAGATAAACAATTGGATAAAATAGATACTTATGTAGATCTTCAGAAATTCATTATAAAACTTAACATTAAGAAATTTTGGGATAAGAAAAGATATAGTGAAAGACAAGATGAGGGAGGAGGGGTGGATATTTTGAATAAAAAGGATTATTAGGAGGAACTGGATAGGTTGGTAAATGATCAAGAGACCTATGAAGTTCTGTAAGGGAACCCGACTAATAAATATAAAGTGAAATTAAAAAAATTAATGACTTCCAGTTAGAAGGAAGGGTTTTTGAATAAAAGAGAGCAGATACCCTGTCCCTGAAGCCTCTATCACCCCTGTAATATATCAATTGCCAAAAATACATAAGGATTTAAAGAAACTCCCGGGGAGACCCATAGTGAGTGGGGTTGACTCCCTGTTTGCTAGGATAGGAGAATACTTGGATCAATTTCTCCAGCCACTTGTTCAGGAATCTCCAGCTCATCTTATGGATAGTGGAGATCTCTAATATTTTGAAGGAGGTGCGGATTGATAAGCCATGTGTTATGGCAAGTGTTGATGTCAACTCCTTATATACAAATTTTAGGCATAATGATGCTTTGGGAGCTGTCAAATGGTCTTTACAGAATAATACTCAAATGAAAAGTAAACAGAAAGAATTCCTACTGCAAAGCTTAGATCTAGCTATGAGCCACAATTTCTTTTGGCATAATGGCAAATTTTTTAGGCAAAAGACAGGAGTCGCGATGTATGCACCCTTGGTGCCTAATCTCTTTATGAGTAGGTGGGAACATGAATCCATATATTTTAATAAAAGACCGGAATTAAAGCTCTATACGAGGTTTATTGATGATATTTGTATCATTTGCGAAGGGATGGAGGAATCTTTGGAAAAGTTAATTAAAGAAATGGGAATGAATAAATATACTATATCATTCACTGAGAGTATTAGTACTGATTCAATCAATTTCCTGGATCTCACCATATTTAGGAAGGGGGATAGATTATATACACATACCCACTTCAAAGAAGTTGAGAAGAACAGGTATATCCCCACACATAGTTGTCATTATCATGGATGGCTAAAAAACATTCCGAAAAGTCAGTTCATGCGGATCAAACGTAATTGTGATGAAGAATTTGACTACAGGGAACACACAGACATTTTAATTAAAAGATTTGAGGAGAAGAGTTATAAAGAAAAAGAGGTGAAGGACACCAGAGACAAGGTTGGTACAATGAATAGAGATGATCTGTTAAAGAAAAAAGGGGAGACAATTTTGACCTGGCTTTCATCACGGCTTTCTCGAAACAACATGAACTGGTTGAGAATGTATTTAGGAAATACTAGCCAATCTTATTGCATGATGAGGTGTTGGGAAAGCTTTTGCCCGAGAAACCCAAATTTATTTATAGACCACCCACTCTTAGAACCAAGCTTGTGAAAAATGTCCCAGACCCACCTTCTAAGAGGGTTACCTTCTTGGACCAAGTGTTTTTTTTTAAATGCGGGAGATGTATAGCATGTAAAATAATGAGGGGTAACAATAATAAGAAAGTGTTGCAATTTCAGTCTCAAGTTAGAGTGAACATATGCAAAATTCGGAAATGTATTTAATGTGATAGCAACCATGTAACTTACCTTCTGGAATGCCCTTGTCATTTACAATATGTAGGGAGGACAACTAGGAAACTTGCCATGAGGCTTAGTGAGCATATTAGGAATATTAAAAAAGGTTTCAAACATCACAGCTTGTCTTATCATGTTAGAAAATTTCACAACTGAGATCCATCTTTGCTCAAGTTCTGTGGAATTGACAGAATTGAACACCATTGGCGTGGTGATATGAGAAAGTCAGTCTCACAGAATGAGACAAAGTGGATTCTTAAATTAGGCACTCTGGCCCCTAGGGGGTTAAATGTAGATATAGATTTGAATTGTTTCTTATCCAATTGGTAATTTTTATAAAGTAATTGTAGGCTTATATTTAATTCAGAATATTTTTTATGGATTGCTTTTGTTTATATATATATATATATATATATATATATATATATATATATATATACACTGTATATATATATATATATAATTTTTTATTCTTTATTTATATTTTGTTATATTTTTTATATTTAAATATTTTTTTTGTCCAATTTTTTAGTGTATTAATTTGTGTCAATCATGCTTAGTGATGGCTGATTAACTAATATTGTCATTTATATTGATTCTTATCATTGATTGTTATATATTTTGTCGATTTTAGTGTTAACAATATTGCATTGTTAGTGGTGACCATAGGATCCCGATCAGGAAGTGAACTTGCAGTAGGAGTATCGTATGTCCATAGCATTCCGATTAAAAAATGGATTTGGAGTGAGAGTGACACAGGGAGTCACCATTAGGTGTTAGCGAATCATAATGGTGGGAGGAGTAATGGGGAGGTATATTTCAAACCAGGAACCGGAGATCTTTGTCTATCATGACGCCCTGGAAGAGGGGCGAAACGCGTTGATGCAATTTTCGGTTCTGATGGAGGGTTCGTGACGTCACGTTCAATGAGTGGAATGCACGCTGATGAAGCGTTCAGCTGCCATTTTGTTTGGAGAGGAGAGCACATCACCATAGACTGCTGCCAGATCATTTTCCCCAATGCTTATGTAATCTGCTAATTTTCATGAAGTAATTGGTGGAATTGTTATCTGCCTAAGAAGGTTATATGTTTAAAGACTTGATATTAATTTTGAAAATGTGAGTGCACTATGGGCATCGTTTGTAACTATTACAAGGTTTATAGAGTATGACGCTATTGGTTTCCCTGTCATCTCTTTGCATTGCTATCCATCCATGGGCGAGGGCTTGGAGGTTGTCAAGGAAGGATTTCTGGAGTAGGGATATATCTGTCACCTGCCTGAGAAGTCTAGATGTCCATAGGGCTTGTCATATATTTTCTAAATGTGAGTGCAATTATGGGCATTGTTTTGAATTATTGAAAAGTTTATACAGTATCACACTATTGTTGTCTCTGTTATTTCTTTGCATTGCGACCCATCTATGGGTGATCGTTTCGAGGTTGTTTAACTAGCTGCCGACCGCATATAGCCGAATGACGGCTGCACTGCGGCTGGCCAGTTCTGAGTGGACGTCATATGACGTCCTCCCAGAACGCGCTCTCCTGCGCGCCCCAGGGGGCGCGCACCCGGCGATCTCCGTGATCGCTGTGTCCTACGGACACAGCTGATCACGTGATGTGGTAAAAGGCCAATCACAGCGGCCTTTTACCACCTGATCAGCGGTGTCCAATGACACACTGATCAGAGGGAAATGCAAGTGCCGGTTCTCGGCTGCACTTTCCTCACGCTGTCAGATCGTGAGGAAAGTACTGCCGAGAACTGGCAGTTGTCAGAGCGGGGATCGGCACCGATCATCAGGTTACTGATGATCAGTGCCCTGATGATCAGTGCCCAGCAGTGCCACCCGCAAGTTCCGCCCAGCAGTGCGCCCACTAGCTCCGCCCACCTGTGCCCAGCAGATCACCCACCTGTGCCCAGCAGTGCACCCACCTGTGCCCAGCAGTGCACCCACCTGTGCCACTCTGCAGTGTCACACACCTGTGCCCAGAAGTGCCACCTACCTGTGCCCAGCAGTGCCACCCACCTGTGCCCACCCACCTGTGCCCACCAGTGCCACCCACCTGTGCCCACCCACTAGTGCCGTCCACCAGTGCCACCCACCAATGCAGCCCAGCAGTGCTGCCAGTCAGTGCCACCAGTCAGTGCCCAGGGATTGTGCCAGTCAGTGCCGCCAGTCAGTGCCCAGCAGTGATGCCAGTCAGTGCCGTCTATCAGTACCCATCATCAGTGTCACCTATCGGTGCCGCCTATCAGTGCTGCATATTAGTGCCGCCTATCCGTGACACCTCATTAGTGCTGTCTATCAGTGCCGCCTATCCGTGCCACCTCATTAGTACTGCCTATCAGTGCCCTTTAGTGCTGCCTATCAGTGCCCATCAGTGCCGCCTATCAGTGCCCATCAGTGCTGCCTCATCAACGCACATCAGTGAAGAAGAAAAAATACCTGTTTGAAAAATTTTATAATAGAAACAAAGAAACTTTTTTTTTTTTCAAATTTTTTACACTTTTTTTATTTATAGCGCAAAAAGTAAAGTGCCCAGTGGTGATTAAATACCACCAAAGAAATCTCTATTTGTGAGAAAAAAATCAGCAAAATTTCATATGGGTACAATGTTGCATGACCGCGCAATTGTCAATCAAAGTGCAGCAGCGCTGAAAGCTGAAAATTGGCCTGGTAAATAAGGGGGTATAAGTGCCTGGTAGGCAAGTGGTTAAGTGAGATTTCCAGAGTGGGACGCATCTGTGGAGGCTACACCCCACCCATTAAGCCTGTTTGACTCTTAAGCCTTATCAGCTAAGAGTCCACTTCATCTGGTGAGTGCTGGTTGGATTGGAAATCACAGATGGTTTGGGCACGTTGGAAAATATTCTTTCAAGCATTTTTTCCTGATTGGAGCAGATTACTTATTTTTATTTGGGACTTTTGGACTTTTATAATAATTTAAAAAAAAAAAAATTGTATAACATAGTTTTTGGTATCATTTATTTTTATATGTTTATTTTATGGTTGCAATTTTTTGCGCTGCGGTTTGGTCACATTTATAGAAGAAAACTACTAAAAGCAGCCCAGGCTGATGTTTGATGTGGGAACACAGCACAATACATCCCTATGACCAGGAAAAAGCAACCTAACAGGATATTGCCGCTTCTCCATCCGATACCTCAGCCTCGCTCTACACGAGCCATTCTATTTATCCACAGGTACAAATGTGGGTTAATGGGAGCAAATGGCCTTTTATGTGCACAATGCAATTTTTTCCCGGTTTGTAAGCCTGCTTTGTCAACGGATTCAAAGTGCACGATTAAACGCAGAAGCAACTCTATGCAATTACCAGGTTTGCTGTTAGCTTCCTCCATCTAAACTGATCTACGCAAACCACATCTGTATTAAAGCCATGGCTTTGAATGTACTTTCACATAATGTCTTTCATCTGTAATTTGAAAAGCCTCTGCACTGCTCTGCCATTTGAAAAAGAGAAAAAAAAGAAAACACAGCACCATTTTGCAATAAAACATCAGTGTCTGCGGCATGTAATTAATATTGCAAATAGCATGGCTCTGATTTCTGCAGGGGAACAAATCGTAGAATAACAAAACTTGGATCTGGAAGGAGAAAGAAATGTAACTGAATAATGTGATAATTCCCCCAACCAGTACTCATGCCTTAAAGTAGTATTATTCCCTTTGGGTATTTTGTGTTTAACACATTGAGCATAATAAAGTAAACATTCCTCATCAAATTGATGTTTACAATTCTAACCCTAGCACTTGCAGTTTACAACTTTCAATGCTGTTGGCTCCTGCTCTCTTGCTCAACATTGCTGCTTCTCTGAACATCTGGTCTGCCCAGGAAAGAGTTAACAGAGGACAGCACAGTCTCAAACCAGTCTGTTAGCTTGGGGATGAGAAGGAAGAGAGTGTCTTGCCATCCTGGGCTATGGGGCTGTGTGTTTCTATTGTTGTACAGAATGTAGAGACACAGCTCTAGCTGCTGCCTGCAAAGGTGACTCCATAGGATGCTGCAAGAGAAAGGAGACACCATGAAACAGGAAACCTGGGGCAGTGATTAAGGAATCAGCTTAAACAGGAATAAAGGCAAGGGTTAAAGTGTAAACTCACCTTCTGGACAAAATGAAAATGTGAACTAACACCCTACACCCTCCTGACCCCCCCTACCCCCCAACCCTGCCACCGCACTTACCTCCACAGTTTGTGAGCTGTCAGTTCCCACAAAGCTAGCATCGTGGTTTGAAATTCCAAGTCTTCTCCCCCTTCTTTCTGCAGCACTTTTATAGTGGATCAAAGCATTTCTGATTGGTCATCTTAGGCACAGGGCATCAGTCTGATCCATCCCAGAAGCCAGAAAGAATGGGGAGAAGAGTGGGAAGTTCAAATCCCAAAAGCACTGCACCGGTTGTGTAGGCACTGACAGTTCATCACTCACGGAGGAGAGTACAGTACGGAATTGGTGGGGGAGGAGGCTCTATTATTATTATACAGGATTTATATAGCGCCAACAGTTTGCTCAGCGCTGTACATAATAATGGGAGACAGTACATGAAACAGCACAGTAACAATACAATAAAATACACGAGGGGTTTGAAGGCCCTGCTCCTTGGAGCTTACAATCTAGGAGGGAGGGGATAGTGGTACAGGAGGAAATAGCTGTGGGGGATGGAGTGGTAGGAAGAGTGGAGTAGTTCAGTAATTAGCTGAGGGCGGGGTAGGCTTCCCTGAAGAGACGGTTTTCAGAGTGCTCCTAAAGGTGAGGAGAGTAGGTGATAGTCTGATGGATTGGGGTAGGGAGTTCCAGAGGATGGGGGAAGCCCTGGAGAAGTCCTGGAGACGGGCATGGGAGGAGACCAGGGAACTCGAGAGTAGGAGGTCTTGTGTGGAGCACAGAGTACGTTTTGGGTGGTATTTGGATACCAGATTGGTGATGTAGTTAGGGGCAGTATTATGAACAGCTTTATACGTCAATGTTAGCATTTTGAATTTTATCCGTTGGGCAATCGGAAGCCAGTGGAGGGATTGGCAGAGAGGGGTGGCGAATACGGAGAAGTTAGTTAGTGGATGAGTCTGGCCACAGCATTCAAGATAGACTGAAGTGGGGATAGCCTGCGGTGAGGTAAGCCGATGAGGAGGGAGTTACAGTAGTCAAGGCGTGATATACTGAGGGAGTGAATGAGTTGCTTAGTGGTTTCCGGGGTTAGGAACGGACGTATTTTGGAGATGTTGCGGAGGTGAAGTCTACATGAGTTTGTCAGCAAATGGACCTGGGGCTGGAAGGACAGATTGAAGTCTAGGATGACACCTAGTACTCTAGCTTGAGGGGAGGGACTGATGGTGGTGTTGTTGGTCTTGACAGAGAAGTTCGGGGGGGCGCGGGCTGGGCGGAAAACTAGGAGCTCAGATTTGGAAATATTTAGTTTGAGGAAGCGGAGTGACATCCAATCCGATGGAGTAATATCCGATCCTAACTCAGCCTTTCTCAACCTTTTCAACACAAAGGAACCCTTGAAATAACTTTTTGGTCTCTTTCTGTATGTGACTTGCTGCCTCAAAGTTTTTTTTTTGGTACCAGAAATAACTTTCTGGTCTCAAGGAACTCCTGCTAAAAATGACTATATCTATCTGAGAAGAATGCTACTTACTCTTGTGGTCATTGGGAAGAATTACCCCCTTATAGATAGCTAAATCAGTGGAGTCAGTGGGAACTTATCTGAGAGGCAGAAATTGCTCATTGCTCAAGGAACCCCTAGCAACCTCTGGAGGAACCCTAGCGTTCCACAGAAAGGTAGTTGAGAAACTCTGCCGTAGAGGGTTAGTTTTTTCTGCAAGTGTGAACTTATAATACTTTAAGGATACAAGAAGCTGCATACTCAGTAGGTGATTAAATCAGCTGCTGAAGGTGTTTAAAAAACTGAGGGTTTAATATCCAAGTAGATATAATCACAGTGCACAGGGGAAGTCCCAATTCAAGGGCACTCTGATGGGCAGGCTTACATTTAATACAGTTAATTGCAAAGTCCATGGTTGGCGGCATGTTTGCGTCCAGTCAGAGGCCCCTTCCCTCTCCACTGTATAGTGAATTGCTGGCTAGAGGAGCAGGGGGAGATGTCGGATCTTGCCCCCCCCCATGGTGGTGGAACGCCGGGGCCCAGTCGCAAGTGCAACCTTTGTTGCCCTGGCAGTTCCACCACTGACTAATAGACAGTCAGGAGGCCACACTGCTGTCTCCTGAATGCCTTTTTTTCAAAAGCCAAACAGCATTTTTCAGTGGTAATATCACACCTCAACCACAACTCTGGTGTTTGACTTGACTGGTTTTCACTTCAATAGGTCACATTTGGCGGCGATATTGTCCTCCGAACTTAATGTTGGAAGGGGGGATAATTTTTACCATGCATTATGCCCACGGAATGTTTATACCCCTATCTGGCTGCCTTTGCAGCTTAAAGTGGTGGCAAAGCCTAACTCTATCTATTCTTAAAAACATTTCTTCCTCCTGCTTATCCTGCATACCTTGTATAATAAAAGATCTGTGCGCTTACCTTTTTTTTTAGTCTTGTCCAGTGCATTAACATGATTGAGCAGTTCTGGCTCCCCTGTTCTCAACAATGGCTGTGAATTCAAGGAGCTGTTATGTCACCCCATATGCTGCTGTGGCCCAGCCATTGTAGGCACTCCCTGCTCTTTGCTGCAGGAACCACTCACTGATGCAAGGGAGTCAAAGCTGTTGGATCAGGTGACTGGACTGGATTAATATTCAGTAAGTACACAGATCTTTTTTATACAGGGTATGCAGACTAGGTAGGATAGGTATTAGGAAGGAGAAGGGAACATTTCTAAGGATATTTAGAGTTAGATTTTTCTTTCACTTTAAGGGGGTAGGGGAGTGGCTGAGGGCTGGAACAACTTGGCTCAACCACCTATTTTTACTGAACCCCAATCGCAAGTATAAACTAAGTTTTCGTGTGGTTTTAACTCTCTAGCACAGAGTTTCTCAACCAGGGTTCCTTCAAAAGTTGCTAGGGGTTCCTTGAGCTACAAACAATTTCTGCCTCTCAGATAAATTCCCACTGACACCATTGAACTTTTTAGCTATCTGTCAGGGGGT